TCCGATCCCGATGTGTGCCACGCCCCCTCATTACCTCGTGTTCATTCCTGATTGTGATCATCTGTGTCCTGTTTCTTTTGATTAGTCCTGTGTATATTAGTCCGCGTCACCCCATGTATGCCAGATTCGGCATTGTAGTGTCTCGATGTTCGTGCCTGTCAACCCTCCGGTTCGTAATAAACCCTGTTCGTCCGACTTTACGGCTCAGCTCGCCTGCTTTTCTGCTCGCCCGCCCGCCAGACGTGACATACATTCCATCACATGCAAAATTATTATTAGTAATTTCACATCTTAAATTATCTTAAAAGAATTCTGCCATTTCTGCCCTTAATATTCATAGATATATAATTCAGTAAAGACAGATGAAGTATCCTCAATCCACAGAAAGTCCAAGACTACTAATTTACACCATATTTTAATTTTTTAAATGTGGCTTTTGGAAAAGTGAGCAAGTGTTTTTATTCTTTACAGTTATGGTTACTATTTCAAAAATATAATTTTTTTTTATAAACAATAGGGATCTAGCATGCTACGCTGCTTGGACCCCTAATTATTACCATGGAGGAATACAATGTTGTGAAAAGAAATGACTTTATGTACCTACAGTGTACAACTTATAGGTGTATACAAACATATAGAATTTTAAAGCTAAGTATATTTAAATGTATCCTATCAGACAACAGAGTAAAGAAAAAAAATCAAAACCTGATCCCTTTGTGCCAAAATAGGGTACCATCTACCAGCCAAGGTGTGATTAAGCATAAAGAATACACAGTACTATCAGATGTGTCAGCTCTAGGCTTCCGTTGCTAAGCTATCTCTTGAGAAAACCAGAGACTCAATGATCAGGTCAAACTCCTAGGAGGTTGTGAGCCATCTGTCATGGCTACCCTAATGATCTTTTCCTTATTTCACAGGCTTCAGGAAATCAATAGTCTTGCATCAACTTCCCTACAGCAATTTTCAGCAGCATATTGTCCTACGAGAGCTGTCGTTCAGAGTCAATGTAAGCACATTCATAATTTCAAAGAAACAGAAAACAGTGAGAACGACATCACAACCATTTATGGTTGGTTATTCATTGAATATTTGTAACAACTGAAATCAAAGTACAAATCACTTGAAATGAAAACGTTATGAAAAAGGTCACATTTTAGTTTTGATGTAAAAACCAAGTTCCTAAAAAAGTAGAAAATAGGTTGCATTTCTTGCAAGGAAAATTAACTGTGTATAGTGATCACGTTTGTCTGGGTGAAACTGATCACTATATGCGGATGATCATGATAACCATTTTTTTTCTTTTCTTCATGTATCAGTCAGACTACCATCAAGCTGACATCTGTATGTTTAGTACACGACTAAAAGGTAATAACATGGATAGCGTTTTATTTTATCTAATAATTAATTATTTACTTAATTTTATTGACTCTTTCAAAATGTAGCTCGTCAAACACTTTTCAAATTTCAGTACTGTACCAATTAAATTACTGAAGGGGGTACAATTTAAATATGATATAACACAGGACAGTACTCTACGTAAAATATAGCTTGTCGTAGTTTCGCTACTGGATTTCTTTGGCTCGTTTTTGACAGTTTATCATAAACTTTAATGTCTATAGTTGTAATTGAGAGAAAATGAATTTCTTTTTCCCGTCAGGTTTTCTGCGCAAGCAGCATTAACTTCAAGCAGCTAGCCATGAGCAGAAGGGTTAGCACAAGGCAAAGTAGGCAAGAAAAAATATGTTATGTATAATAACACCCAAAATGAACACTGTAAGTAGACCACTTGATTATTATAAGCAAATTATTTACACAGCATTTGTACAGGAATGATTCTGCCCCAAGCTTTTTGATCCATATAAGCGGTTCATAACTATCACCATGATCACTAAATGCGGTTTCCACTGTATTTTAAATATTGCTAGTGCTGAAACCGATTGGTGGTATTACCTTTGGTAGCTGAAACTGCTTTTCCGCAGTGTTAATGATTGACACACTGTGTCCAAAGGACAGACACGGCATTTTCCTTTAGTACAAGCTGCTCGAGTTGCTTAATCTGCTCAGTGTTTGCAGACTGGACTGGGCTCAGCCATGTGACAGCACACGCAGTAGTATGTTTTTAAGGGGACAGTACATGAACACACACTGGGGAAAATATTAACAGATTTTTTAAATAAAAGTATTAACATAATTAAAAAGAAAAAAAGAACGACATGGGCAAGATTACGTCGACTAGAGGTTCTGAATGTCGGTTTTGATTAAGAGCCTATCCTGGAATAATGGGCATAAGGCATAAATAAAAAAATAAGTTTTATGGTAGGTCTGTGATTTTCCTTTGTTAGCCTGCTCCTACTTTTGACGTTTGGCTTGTTCTCTGGTTTAGCCCTGCACTAAAGCCAGCATGGCAGCCGAACAGGCAAGGTCTGACAGGCAGAATACCTGCCAATGTGAATGTGCTTTTCGGAGTGTGCTATTTGACCAGGCTTAATAAAGCTGATTTTTCTATAACTCTGCCCTGTTTTCCTGGCACCCTTGGAAAAGCCATCTATTCATACAATTTTAACAGTCACATTGTTTTACTCAGAAGAGATTAATTTGCTGAATTTTGAGAGGCATAGGCTGCATACCCAGCATGAACTTCTACAGCACATTCGGTTGGTGTAATTGCCAGCACTGCTGATATGGTTCTTAACCTGAAAATCTCAGCAGAACATTTTTCACAGTGATTTACTAGAAGTATTTTTTAAAAATGTGGCTGCGTGTTACAGCAGAAGGTAATCCGCAGAAGTGCAATGACATCTTCCAGCATGCCCTCTGCAAAAGTTTGTCCCTTTGTGTAGAATAAGGCTTTGCACATTCTGTGTCACATAATGGGACCAAATGTGCATTAATTGAGCCCAAACCACTATGCTACAGTACTGCGAAACCATTGATTAACAAATGCAGCATTGGACACGTTATAGAGAACAGCTAAATGCCATGAAATATCAAAAGCATCAATCAGTGACCTGACAGAGAGCAGAAACACCATTTGTTTAGCAGGAACCTTTTTCCTCTGCAGCACAATCTATTCCTGAATACTTTTTCCCCTTGGCCCGAAAGGCTAAATATAGAGGCAGGTACAGACAACCTGGGCCTGTAACAAATGGCAAGCAAAAATATACTCAGTGTAAATACAAACCTCTGCACAAGTTCCCGGTGAGTGTAAACAGTATATAAGCATGAATGCTACTGTATTCATTATTCTATAAGAATATATATTTTTTTGGTTTTTTTTACTACCTAGCTGTTATAGTAACTACAGTAACTATGAAATGATTGAGGTTAAGAATGTAATAGGCTGTGGTCATACTAAAAACACAATACTTAATAACAATAATAAAACACAACAACAAATTCTACTTCAGCAGTATTTAACCATTTCTCAGTGGTATCTGCTGCAAAGAAGAAATCCATATAATGTATATCTATAGAGGAACTTTGAGAATGACCTCAAATACCCTCAAATATTTGTCCTTGTATAACAAATAACGTGTGCAATCAATACTTTAAGGATTTATCAGTTTTAGTATGCACAGTTAATCATAAAAATATCATAAGTAACTCATACTGGCCAAATTGACTCAATAATGAAATTGGCCCTGAGTTTATCACATACTTGACATTAACATGTAATGTAAGGTGATTGATTTTTCAAGAGGAATACCTCCGACACATAATACATAAATCACTCCACCATTCTTTCTCTCTTTGCTGTCTTTCCTGTCAAGCTTTATGACCAAATCACCTTTCTGTGGATCTATCAAAAGCTGGTTCTTTTTTTGGGCTAACATGCCACTCATGTTCTGTATACAATCCAATACTGTGCATTGACCATAAAGCTGTATACATTAAATCTGTCAGTTTGTAGGGTACTGATGGAAGTTTTAGTTTTGATTATTAAAAGACAGCTTTGTTGTTTAAAGTACGTCTAGTAGATAGATACGTTCAGAAATACAAGCAATTAACTGCTTTGCAAAGCTCAATGCTCTCTGTACACTTAAATTTATTTTCAGTTTAACCACGAGATAATTTTTAAAAGACAACTCAAATATATAGAAAATGCAATCATAAATTTATTACAGTGTGCACATGCTGGTTACGCAATTAATGTAGAACATGCAGTAAATGCATGAAGACATTTAATACAGATGTAATGGAGTGTAGTGGACTGACAGCTTATCGACCACTTTATTACACAATAACGTAGTAATTTATTATGGTTACTCCCTGCTTCCTTTTCTAAACTTCTAAACAGATTTTTTTCATTTTAAGTTTTAAAAATATGCTACAGTAGTCATAGACTACACATTTGTCACGAATAGCACACCTTTTCTTATTTATTTTATTCATCTTTGTTTTATTTATTGGATTGCTTCTGTAGGAAAAAAATGTTTTAATTGAGGAAAAGATCTTTAAGTCATTTAGGTTGCAGTATTTTCAGAACTATAAGGAACATTATATAATAAGTTTTTAGTGTTGCCCATAAACCATGTTACATATTTAGTTCATTAGTACTATTTCTCTTACTTTCAATTTTACCATACTGTACTAGAAAATCAACAGTAATTTAAGCCCCTACTGTACATAATACATGTTTATATTTAAATCACAAACAGGGACAGTACAAACTACTACATCTCTTTCAGTTCATATTTAATGACATTAAAAAGAACACTACTGAACGCTCTAAAGAGAAGCTACAGTGCCACATAAATTAATGATTCATATTATTCTGGCTCTTTATTGTATAATTAAAACCATTAAAAATATTACATCCAGGGACTGAATTGCAAAGCTAATTAAACTAAAATGCTGGACTGACATTCACACAGTGAAGCCATAATTATTTTTAAACTTACACGTAAAAAAAGCTTCAATATAGTAAAGAAGATTTCATGGGATGTCTCTTTAGAAGGGAGCCAACCGAAAAAGTCTAGAGGAGTAAAAGAGGTACTCACCTAAAACTCCTAGCCGGTAGTTAATGGTAACCACAATGACGTTGCCATAGCTAGCCAGAATGCTGCCATCGATCATGTTCCCCGTTCCCTCCATGTAGGATCCTCCATGAATGTAGACCATAACGGGCTTCAAGCCATTCTCATCGTGGATGTCTGGAAACAAATGTAGGAAGTTCATGTAAAAAGAGTCACCGGGTCCAATAAAATTAAGCGTCTTATCATAATTTGGGTTAGATTAAATATTGTTCATTGAAAACTTTTCAAATCAACATAACTGTAGGTTTTGGGTGGTTTTTGTATGTTTTAGCCCAGTGTCATTTGTAACAAACCCATTATGAAAGTACAATATCACGTAAAACATGTCCTTCCAATTCATTAATTCATTCATTCATTTATTCATTCGTTCGTTCATTCATTTATCATTGCCTGTTCAGTCTTGGTTGTTTATTTGTTTTAATAAAGACACTTTCATTCTAGGACCAGTTGTTACTACTGGAGGTGTGACCATTTCAGGTGAATTTCAACATCATGATATTGCTGTCGATGTATGAGGTTACAGCCGTCTGAGGAAATCTGCAAAAGCTTCTTTGTCCTACAGCAAAGAGCCCAGCCTTAATAATAAATACCTGCCAAATATTTCCAGCAGACAATCTTGATTTGACAGGATAAAATGAAAATCTTGACTGCGACTACAATTCCCACCTTATAGGTCTATCTTACATAGTGGTCTGGGTATGGTACTTTGGGAAATGAGCATCTACAGGAAACAGCATTGTATCTTGAAGAAGCCTGGATTAAGTGAAGCCCGTGCTACAGTATGTTATTATTCCTGGCAAAATAAGCATGACTGGCAAAGGAAGCAATCCAGGTTAATTTGGGGGAGATACTGTTTTGTGGGCAGCATTCTCGGTAACAAGCCAAGAGGGTCTGCCGGAGAAAGAAGACAGAGAATTTTATTATTAACTGCCAAAGGAACGGTCTTAGTGAGACTTGCTTAAGGTCACATTTCAAGTTGCATATGAGTACAGTATGAGGTGTGAAGGCTATTTGCAAATTGGAACAAGCAAAGGCAAGTCATTATTACCGAGTGAATAAATTCCACCTCACAAAACACTAAACTAGACAACAAATAAAAACAGTCATAAACCTATGCAGATTGCCAACAAGGAAAAATAAAATGTGTATTATCGGACAAAAATAAAGACTATAACGTTTATCTGATATTACATGTGCTCCAAATGCAGTTATATAGCAGAGGAAAACAATTTCGTTCCACAGTATTTCAATCCTGCTACAGCAGCTGAAATTGAAAATAGTGTTAAATAATACATTGAAAAATAAATTCATTGTGTTGAGTATACATAATTGCAAGCTGGCATCAACAGAATATTTATTTTCTCTTAACACACAATGCGACACACCTTGGCCACAGAATATGAGCACTGCTTTTTTCCTTGTTCAATACTCCCTGGAAAAATGGGGTGGTGGTCATGGAAAGTATCTTTACACTATGTGTGTGTGTATAATATTTAACTATTTATTTATGTTTTTATAAAAAACGCCTCTAAAGCCTCTAAAGGCACACGAGAGGCACTTTGCTGCTGCACTGCTGAGATGCAGCAAACTGTATTGCTTAGTTTTAACCTCAAGGGAGCCAATTCATCACCAGTGCAGTTTTTTGTGTATCTAAAGCAGAGGTGCCTGGGACAATTAAATGTGACGCACTATGGATTTTACTTTTCCAAGGCTTCCTATGTGGTTTGCATTTCTCATTTATTAAAATAGGGTTTCGCTCAGAACTCTGCAAAAGCCTGGACAGAGAGTTCACCATCACAATACTTACACTTTGAAGACAAAGTAATGTTTAAAATGTACTTAAGTACCTTAATATTAATATTAATAGTTAATGTATTCTGTGTTTCACTGTTGGATAAAATAAAACTGAACACCAATGCTATACTTCTGGGCAAAAAAACTGTGACACTTCATTTGAGTGTTTCCTCCCCTGAGCAGGACCATTGTAAAGAGCATGGAGCCAAAAGTATGGTTTTCAATATTTTTACATCTGTATTCACAAAAGACATTTTTCAGTCCCAATAAACCACAAGCAAGTAATTTTTTGTAACAAATGGTTGACAATGTGGAAAAGTAATGTTTTTATTTAGTTAAATGTTATTAACATGCAACGTGATTGTACTGAAATGTATGTAATACATTTTGAATACCACTGTAATTTATGTATTTTAAATTAATTATGCAACAGATAGGGTTAGAGTTTTACCTGCCAGAATACCAAAAGGGACTATATTTCAGAAAAATAATAATAAAATGTATATATAATATTCAATGACTAAACATTTTTATTTGAATAATGTGAAATAACATTAATCAATATGTCATGACCTTATTAATTTATTACCAGGTCTCTATGAAAGTTCTTATTTTTAACAGCCAATATCTCATGACTGCTCAGCATTTTGTTGAATATCTCCAACACACCTTACTATGGTCTGTTTTTACATATTAATGCAACTACAATGCTTTGAATACCACAAACAGTCTTATGTAGAGCATAAAACAAATATATACAAAAGACTTGGTTTTAAAGTATAACTTCATGTTCTGAGCATAGTTACCACAGAAAATAAATTAAAATCGAAAAAAATTGTAAAAAGGAAAGTAAACACATATGAGTCATGATTCAGCTCAGTGAGTAACTATGGCTTGGGTTGTAGGTTCCAATCCCTCCTCCACTCCATGTGTGTGTAATTCAGAGTTTGTAATTGCCCATGGAGCGCGTGCATGTATGTGTCATTTTCTGCTCCATAATTTGCATTTAACAAAACCTTCTAAGAAAAAAAAAAAAAGACACGTCGGTGAGATTTTAAAAATGTTATTGTTATTTTTACAATCCAGTCTCTTACATGTAAAATATTGTATGGCCAGTAGAGGATGACAGTAAAATTCCTGAAACATACAAATGTTATTTTTCATTGTTATCAATCTTGAATGCTCTTCAATGAGGAATCACTTTCATGCATTCATTAAAATGTCTATTAATAAATAATGGTTAGTGTTCATGCTTAATTAGATTATATAAAAAAAAGAAAAAAGCAAAGGTAGTATTCCTAATTTCTCCTATAGGGTTAGAAACATGCACAATTTCAGTTCCCAGGTTGCACCTTGCCATATAGGCAAGTATTTGGGTCTAAAAGCATTTTCTATGTTGCTGACTTCACACAGTGTCCCACAATCTTTAACAGTCAAATGGGAGTATTGCATCTAAATGCTAATTTCTCCAAAGAAGGAAGCGGTTTGAAATAAGGATTGAAAAAGGTGCACGCAACTATGCACTTAATGTGAAAAAGAGGGAAAAAACAAACTCAAAAGGGTTTCTGTTTTCTTTTTCATGCAGCAGGATCAAGGCTTTTTGCAGTAAAACAAAATACCTTCATCTCCGTCATCATCATTACTGGTAATATCATCGTCTCGACTCTTTGAGCTGGTTCCTACGATTGACAAGGGGAGGAACAGATTTAAAAAAAACAGTAGCTTTATCAAAAAATGTAAAAATGCATTAAAAGATGCATTAGATGTAAAAAAAAAAAAGTCACAGGTAAAAAAATGCTCAATATCCAGCTCAGAATGGGCACTACCTTTGTGATAAAAGGTAAAAATGAGGTACAAAAGAAAAAAATACATTGTCTGCAGTCACCGAGGAAAATTCACATAAGAGTACTTGTGATGGAATTTTAAAAAATGATAATTCAAAAATAACCCAGGTGTTAATTCATCTAAATTGTTGTTGATGGTGGTTTTTCCTTTGGCATTCTCCTGGCTTATGTTTAACAGAATCAACAGGAAAAGAAAATTAAAATGGTAAGGACTGTATACATGTTTGGTATGAGTTACTCAATTATTTCTCATTACCTGAAAATATCAAGAATCTTTGGAATATATACGATAATTAGACACCATATTTAACATAACAAAATTTTCTCCATAGAAAGTTCAAAAAGAACAATTAATTAGCAGTAGTTCACAAGTGGTTTAATGTAAGAATAATTCTGTGATCCATGTTACCTATTCATGATCTTTCTGTAGTTAGACAAATATGTTATCTACTGTATACTGCTGACACTCTATACTGATGGAGTTAAGATAAGAAAAAAACTTGTTATCGATGACATCAGATGAGATCGTGATGAATCATAATCCAGCATTTGATCAAAAGAAGGCAGCGTTTAAATGTGTGAGGTAATACAACATATGGGCATGCATTTTATTTTCTGATATACAGTACTGTACAAAAGTCTTAGGCAGTCAAAGAAAGTGGTGTTTAAATGATCTTCATATCAGTGTAAAACTATGATATTACGTCAGGCAAGAGGCCCACCTCTGAGGAGTCGCAGGGCTGAGGGCAAGTTAACTTATTCAGGACTGGAGCCAAACAGTGCTCACTGCAGAGCCAAATGGGTGGAGCTGGACGGCCAGACACACCCCAGCTGAGGGCCAACTCCACCTCTTTGGACCAAGCGAAGTGTTCGCTCTGCCAGCCAATTAATTTCCGTTCATGCAAATATGCCAAGAGAGCTATCAAAAAAGAAAGATGGCGGACCAAACGCTATAGACGGCAATGTTTGTGTATTAATGTATTACTTTAGGTTCTTTTTTTCAATTAGCATGCACTTTAAAAATGTACCTACAAATAGGCACTACATGATCTGATAACACTGTTATTCCCAAAAGCATATTTGCTAAATACATATGCTTGTGAATTTGGGTTCCGTCCATGTCAAAAAACGTATTCATACTTTTCATTGTGTGTATCGTACCGAAAATGATGTAGGCCTACTAAACTGTACACAATGAATACATATACCATTACAGTCCTAATATTTAGCCAAAGTAACAAATTAAGATGAAATGTTGCTGCATGCAATCAGGAAGAAAAAGACTTATTATTTAGCCTCTTAATTATCTAGGGAAGTATCCCTTTTGAGCGCCCCCCCCCCCCCCCCCCCCCTAGAGGGCAGGGCCTGGTCTGACCGCACTAACTGCCCTAAAGACAGTTGTATCTGGCAAAGTGTGTTAGCTTAGCCATTACGAAACCTTGTCCTAAAGTCAGGCCAGGATTTGTGGTAGCCATCCAATTTTTTGCCTCGACCACTAGCACACCTTGTTTAACTAATTAATTAACTAATTTCATTGAATAATTAACTAAGCTGGTGGTGAAATTTAGCAAATCCATGTAATGGCTGGTGCCCCTGAGTAGAGGTTTGGGAACCGAACCTATGTTCTAGTAAACATCTGACAAGATACTAAAAACTTTTCGGCAAGCACAAAAAACTCTTATTTACTCTTCATTTGCATACATTGTAATGCTGAATTCTGTTTGTTTATTTTGAAGCAAGTATACATTTACTATGCAGATAAACAGCTTTAAACATTTTCTTTTAGTGCCTAGACTTTTGCACAATATTGTATAACTATACAACACGTACAGTTCAGTTCAGCTGACAGTTGAACCCAGAGCAAACATTCAAACGCTTGAGTGCATTCACCTTACACAGCCTCTTTTTAGTCTGATTCTGACAAGGCTGTCTTTGCAGAACAGCATTGCACAGCATCTTTGTGTTCTCATCCTTCTCTCTTCAGGATCCATGTCGATCCAAATCCCCAGCAGACAGCGGTCAGCAATGAATATTTGCCATGACTCTTTGAATTTCTTTTTGATAGACACAACAAATCAAATGTATTGACAACTAATTGATTAGGATCATCTGCATGGATGCTAGTTAAATGACATGGAATGTTATCGAACAAGACAATGTACATATGTATTTATGCAAACACAGATAAATGTATAGATGTATAGATAAATACATATCCATATTCATTCACACAGTAATGCACACAGGTGTGGGTGTTTGCATGGTGGATGACATCCTCATGCACCTTGAGATGCTATCCATCATTTTTTGGGCATTATTTTGTCCATCCATTGCTTTTATATACCCCTTTGTCTAATGCAGGCGTGCATGGCTCCTGCGCAGGGAAAGTAGTGAGTAACCCAGGATGAGGAACCAATCCTTTGCAGGCAATATTTTATATTTCTTTTTTAAAAATTGATATACATTGACACTATGCAATTAATTACCAGATGCAACTGCCACAGCTCTGACAATATTTAAATCTTCAAATCAACATATTTTCTATTTAACATGCATTGTTAGTAGTTCCTTGTGTATGGTGAAATTCTTTCATGGATGTTGATTTAATATTAATGAATTATGATTATTTTGATTGCTAGTCCACTTATAATGATCTTAAGTTGCAGCAACTTATTTTTTATTTGACAAGTATTTTGCTCTATGTTTCCAAAATATTGTTTAGATTTAGATGTGAAAGGGTTAATTTAAAGGACTTGGAAAAATGACAAAAATATGGTTGATTGTTGTTAATGGCTTACCTTTTAAATTGGGGCATTTCTATTTTGAATTTGAAATTGAACAAGATCTCTTAAGCATTTAGGTAATTATGTAGCCACATATAAAGGGGGACTTTTATATGTAAATTTTGTGTACATGTAAACCATGTAACCACCCATGATTAGTTTGGCAATTAATATAAGGCCACAGGGCATTCCAGTAAGCATTGTAACTGAGCTTAAATGAAATATGTAATAGGACAGCTACAGTTACTGTAAACATGGCAGCATTGGACTGAATTAGACCAAGGCTTTGTGCTGGCGTTCAGATCATGAGATTATCTTCATGTGTTTCATTAATCTATTCACCTTCTTTTGTTAGATGATTCCCTTAATGAACTCATAGAATTGTCCCGATTATTTCTTTTCGGATATTTATTACTTGCATTATATTTAGAGGATTATGATGTGTTTCGTTCATTTTTAGTCCCCTGGCCCATTTATGTAGCTGGGATTTAACTTAAGCAACTGATTTGCCTTGCTTGAGGCTTGCAGCATTTCTGTTCCACCTGGAATTCATAGTGTCGGGCTTACAGCGCAGTAATCATACCCTCCAGAGCATGATGCACTTTTCGGAAATTCATTGGGGGTGAACACAATGATAAAAGCTCTCTGTTTTCTTTTGAAATACAGATCAGAGTATGGCCAGATTAGGCTCTGAATTCCAAACTCTGTGGATAAGAATACAGAAAACTTACTAGAATTCATTCATGCAGTAGAAAGGTACATATTCAAAATGAGATTATTATTTTCGTTTAATGTTTAAATATAGTGAATATTATACTTTGTAGATGGATGCGTGGACACAGCATGTATTATATTAACTACATACTTGGTAGGCTTTGTAAATATGTACATGCTTTTATCATTAAACATTTTTTTTAATGGCAATCCTTTGACAAGAAAAAGGTTTTTTTTTATTCATTAGTTACAGGGAATGTTCTGAAAGGTAGTACTAGGTATTTTTGTGGAAATAGTGATAAGAAATGGTCTCATTAAGCCATGGTGTCCAGGAATTTAATATATTTTTTGTATTTTTAACCGTAATAATCGTGTATGTAATACTGTTGTTTCATTGGCCATTATACTTGCATTATAGAGGCATTACATCATGATTATGTATTATATGTGTTATTTTATTAATGATATTCTTAATGATCACTAATGTCTCTGTGTAGCCTATGTGACTTTAATTTATCATTAATCCAAAAGAGCGTTCTGTACTTCATTAGGTTAGAAATGTGTTAGAATAAGTTATTAGTGAAAAAGTACAATTCAAAAGGCATACATTTTGTGTGAAAATAATACATTCAATAAGAATCTGATATTCCATTAATACTTTCTGTTCAGATCTGCAGGATCCATTTTTGATTTACAAATGTTAGTGTATCATATTTTAATCTTTTCATTTAAAAGTTTGACCTCACTGTTTGTATGCATAATCCCTTTCTGTTCTAGACAATGTTCCATCTCAATTAATTCACTTTTTTTTTACTATTGTATGCTGTTTGTGGTGTGCAAGGGAATATCATATTGATTTGCAACATAAAACCCAGAATCATGTTGCTGATGTTGTTGATGTTGATTTCTGTGTGGGGCAAAAGACACAACATGGCTTAGCAGCATAAGACACTCTATTGCCTCCCAAGGCATGGATAACTGTGTCATATTTGACAGTGAGAATGCTAATGATGTTCCTAAGATAGTAACAGAAACAATGCTAAGAAATCTACTTTCATTGGGATTACCACACAAAGTCAATCACTACCATCTAACCCAATGAGCAAAAATGACCAATGTAATGAGAATGAGACCTATCTGTGACTGGTGGCTTGCGATGAACCCATCCACCATGGGATTTGAAGCCTTGTATCTTCAATCACCATACATTACTATGCTGATAAACCATAAATGGAGAGTAAATGTACTCATAAATCATTAGCATTTCTTTTTGCTCAGTATCTTTACTGGATTTCTGCACATGAAGAACTGTTAGTGTGTTTTACTTGTTCTCTTTCTATTATTTATAATTACATTGTAGATTTCCCCCCACAAATGACCAAGAATTTTTGCAAAAGTCACACAGCTGTCTAATTATTATCATAAATGTTTGTTTCAATATCATATGAAGCCTTTTTTGTAACATATACAACCAAAGTATAATTGTAAATTGGATGTGCTTCAATGGGAATTCATTCGGATGATGATGAAACATTAAATAAATAATATTTATAATGAATAGATTCTAATAAAGTGACTTACCATCTTCCGTGGGAACGTAGATGTTTAAGTAAAGACAGTCTTCACTTTGGTCCTGCACGTAGGTCACCACTGTATCCAAATTGGCAGTAAACCAGACTGGCAACATGTCATTCAGCAAAAATCTGTCTTCAAGGTATTGTGGACAGACAGGAGCGAACTGAGTGGCATTGCGGATGCCAGACCAAGAAGAGGGGGGTTCAGGAGGCTGGAACCTGCGTTCCCCAATTGGGGGGGAGGCATACGGGATTCCCAGGTAATGTTCCACTGGCCCCAGGATTTCATTAGGCAAAGGCATTTTTAATCCCCGTAATTTCCCATAATTTGTGGTGACTATGGAATATTGGGACTGTTGGCAGTTGATGGCAGTAAATCTCACAGCCAGAACAGCAATCCAGAAAAGCAGATCTACATTCAGAATTACATGGATGGGGGTGAAGATGAATGGTAGCCATACAATTCCCTGGGGTCTTGCCATGGTCCACTGTAGCCAAGCTGGGTTATAATATGCTTGTGCCACAGCACAAACACGCGATCTCACCCAACAATGTTGGACAAACAGAAAAATCGCCCACCAATAATATATGCCTGCTCAGAACTCCCCATTCCAGGAAGAAGGTCTTGGTGGGAGTCTTGTCTCGGCACTCCAAAGTGGGAGTGAAGATTTTCCTTTGTTTGTGGGTAGTATTACTTCCCTGAATGGATTCCAGCTAGCTGAAAAAAACTGTGAGGGAAGAGAGAGCATGCTTTCAATTAATAACTAATAATATATGTTTCAGAACATCACAAGCATATCCACATACAGTATTTCACATAATATATGCAGGAAGCAAATCAATACCTGATACATTTATCAGAGGGTTTGCTGAATTTTGCATTGCTCTAAAGTGTTTCTTTCTTAGCTCTGAGCATTCCTTGGCATTGCATTATTATTTTACATCCTAAGCTACCCCATAACCTGGCCAACCAAATCTGCACTCTATAAAATGTCCTGGAACACTTGAACATCTCATTGAACCTTTGCCAGGTTTGGATATTACAGCTGCACTCTTCCTGACACAAAATCATGTATTTGAGCAAATGTTAACTAAATGGTAAGTATGGTACAATTTCTGGAGTCATTGAAGTTCATGGCTTACATGTAAAATACGAAAGGTATAAAATTCCCTGAGATCACAGAAAGCCTATTTATCACTATGTCTTCAGGGTCAACTAAAACCAGATAGATTAAGCTAAGTTATCAGTTCTTCTTTCTCTGAGCAATTAGTCATGTTAGGCTATTTTTAGTTACTCTGTATATTAAATGAAATAATTTCAAGCAAATTCATTTAAACTTTTCAAAGCAATCACCTTGCATGAAAAAAAGATTTGTAGCATTATAATATTTTCCTAACTTTCATAATTCAAAATGAATTATTGTCATTATATACAATGTCTTTTTATACAATGACCTGATAGCTTGCAGTAATAAAGCCTGACTCATTCATTCATCCATTCATTGTCCTCAAAGGATTAATTTCAGGACCTGTTTATGGTGCTCCTTTGCTCCCGTGATCAATGACACTTCTGTAAATTGGAGTATCAGTTCAGTAGTCATTTATTAATGCTTTCCCGCATTAACAGAGGTGCTCTGAGAAATGGCTGCCGCAGGATCAGGCTGTTAGGCTGAACACCATTGATTTATACAGCTATGAAGTGTAATGCGTCATGTTATCGCTGCAACAGCTGTACCCAGAGCAGTTGGTGGAAGTATTAGATTAGTGGAATATAAGACCATATATGCTTGTAAAAAAAAGTTTGCTTTCATCATGTTTTGGCCTCATGGGAAAAAGAGAAAACAAGTGTATCCAGTTTTATTTTTATAATTTATAATTTATATGCATCGTGTCAAGGTTTTGGCTCAGCCATTTTCCAAAGAGGTCATTGCTATAGGTGTCATAGCATATAAAGATTCACAGCTCTCTCCCAGCTAATTGTAATGGTGAACAACACTTCCCCATACCTATGAAATGCTGCTAGATGGTTACATACCTATTCTTATATACTGAAAACAGTATATATATATATATATACAAATCATGGCTTTGATGAGATATAAGGTATAAACTAATGTGAGATATTGAGATATTAAAACTAGAGCTTCCTGAGCTTTCAATAAGCCCGTCTTTAAGGAAACTTCTGTTTTTTACAAGGATCAGTTATATTGTCTTAAAAACAGTTTCAGCAGAGTCATAGAAACACCATCCCACTAGCAAAACACTTACTGTTAGACCATTATCACACTTTTTCCTGTACTTTAATGTATATATATATATATATATTTGATTAAAAATTTGCAAATCAGAACTTAACTATCAATGACCTTTCAGCCATTTCAGCTAACTTCATGAACTCATGAGTGCAAGATATAATAAAACTGCATGGGTGGGAGTTAATATAATAAAAGTGTACATTTGGATATTGATTAGGCCCAGCTATTTATTATGGCATTCAAGCAGAATATATATCCAGTTTCACACAGGGCGTACCCCAGGGATTCGAGTTAGGTCCGGTACTTTTTAAATGTGCTATCAGCTTTTTATGTGCTATTGGCTTTTTTGTTCTTCTGCAGGCTGAGGATTGAGTTTTGCTACTATTCAGATGTCATTGGAATATGTCTGCTGTTTTTAACTGACACAGGGACTGCTGGAGGTTAACAGCTCATTTCAAGCTGCCTTCATTCAAAATAACCTGTGTTGCCTGTATAATATGATAAAATTTGATCACAGCTCAATCCAGGCTAAAAATTAATTACAAATACAGGAAATACTGTTATAATGTAATAATATATAAACATATAAAAACAAAAAAGAATACTTTTTCCTTGTTTTGCATTGCTTTTAATATTTCTAGTCCTTTGTATGACTCAGTATTCGCAGCCCTGCCAAGTCCCTCCAGCGTCACTGACTGACAGCTTCCTGCCCTTCATAGCAGAAGGACAGCTTTGCTATCAACCTTAAATCAGACCTGGTTTATGACTTTGCTCAGAGTGTAATCAAACTCCTCCCATTCCCAGTAAAAATATGATACACATCTATATTGCCGCTTTATTTTTGTTCACTTTTCAGAATCTCTAAAAACCATACTTTTAATCAGGGGTGTTGTTAGGCCCATTTTAGGGGGGCTTACACTAATTCGTTTAATCAATGTGGGCCATTTCCAACAGACCGCCCCCTTACCCCCCCCCCCCCCCCTTCATAAATCTGTAGTGATGCTGCTGATTTTAATATTCCTATAGCTTTATCATTATGCTGGCTGACCCCATATCTTCTCTCTAATTGTTTAATCATAACCATAGATTACCTAATTCTTGCTATAGCATGACATTTGGTTATTTGGCTAACACTGTTATGAACACTACCTAACCATATTTAGTAACCTGGGCAACTGTTTATCCAGTGGAATGAGATTTAGGCAATTTGTCTGGAAGGCCCATCCTATGAACTAGCAAACTTTCAGTTTTAGGTCCTTAACTGCTTAACTGCTGCACTTGCTGGCCATAGGTGACCATAAAGTATGGCTCGGGAACAGTGGTAACGCAAGCTGAAGAGCTCCCAGGTCATTCCAAGGCTGGTTTCCCAAAGTGACACATGCCATACAGAAAAGTCTGATTTTCATTTTCCAATGAACAACATTACTCACAAATGTGCTAACACATACTGCTAATTACTTTCAGGACATTTTTTTACCTTTGGTCTCCTTGATGTCTTTATGAAAATGACAACTCATCTATTAAACATTAATTTAAACCATCCATCCATCCATCTTCCATACTGCTTATTTCATCACAATGGCCCCATGTCCTCAGAAGTGCTTGGCACAAGATGGGGTACCCTGTGCAGGATGCCAGCCAATCACAGGGCATTTACTCTCACTCTAAAGGCAACCTGGAGACACCTATTCACCCACAGAGCAATTCAACCCACATTGTAAGGCCACAGTACTACCCACCATGATACCCTTGCTTAAATACAATGCTATCAAATTTGAATAAATATTTAGAAAGCAAGCCTAAGAATTATTAAAGCAAAAAATGGCTGCGTTCGCGGCACCAACTTAATAATGTCAATTACAACATTTCACAGAAATATTGGAAGTGTTAAGGAAAAAATAACTAGCTCCTTCTGTGTACATACTATTCTAGAAAACAAGGTTGACTTTGTATACTGCCTGTCCATCCTAAATGGCTTTACTCAAGATTAAGTTTGCTTAAGGGTAAAGTTTATATCTTGTGCTGGCATGGTGACCCATTAAGATTTGAAGGTTGAACTTTATTTTATAGTATAGTATTTTATACTATATTTTATAGTATTTATATTTATACAGAAGAGGCGTAACCAAAATAACATATTTACATTAAAAAGTAAAGTACGCATTAAAAATTATTTTAGCAAATTAATTTAATGAATAGTCAATTTGCACGTTGGAAACATTTCTACACGCAGTAATAAACCAACTGGCATAAAGCTTTCTGCATGCAATTTAATTTTCAAGGGAAATGCTCATTTTCCCCAGCACCCCTGATGAATGCAGAGTGGTCAGCGGGAATTCAGGCACAGTTGAATAATTCTAAAAAGCTGATTAATTAGTTTTCATATTTTTTAAATAGTGGGAATTGACAGCTTTATCGCATAAGCAAATGCTCGGTGAGTCAAGAGTCCATCACCGTCACTTGAACTGTGCTGTATTACCATGTGCTACATTGGCCAAGGAGGTGACATCTTCATGCCTTTGCAGTATCATATTATTCATTTATGGAATATGTAATTTCATGTGAGCTACAATTCCAAAAGAATCTATCTATCTATCTATCTATCTATCTATCTATCTATTCCAGTGATGATGCAATTTAGTTTCACCATTCATGTAGGGACAACTCTGATATAGCACCAAAACACAAGATGTTCAGCGCTTGTCTGCATACATCCCATATACAATTTATAAGATTTATGCCTGGTGATTATCAAGGGCAGAGTACCATTGCTCTGTTCTAGAGCTGCCAGAGAGATGTATGTAAGACCTGAATGCTGAAGACCTCATATGTTAATGAAAATACATCCTTTCACAGCAGATGGGGAAGGATGAATCGCAGCAACCCCAGAAACAGTAATCTGCTATGTGTGATAGCAGAAATCATTCACGTGTGTTTTAATTAACATAGGGTTATTAAAACTGGCTTTTAATCATTATCATCACTGCACACAGAACTCTGCAGTTGACCAAAATAAAAGAGAGGGGTTGGTGAAAGCAAACTAACTTGAAAGGGAAATTTTCTTCAATCCTGTGCCCAACCGTGTGTGTGGAAAACAATTTAAAAATTTCATAACAGACAACAAAAGCAAGAGAATAAAGGACGCACTCCCATTATGATAATATTTCCTATTCAAAACATGGCCTGCTCGGTGGGGACACTGGAACTTGAGAATTAACAGTGGACAGATCTATTAAAAGGTGACAGGGCTGAGTAAACAAGTCCTCTGGCAGACATGGGGACCGCAAGGCTGGAATCATAAGCGTTCGACAAACAGCATTTGAGTACGCATTAGCTGAGCTGTGCCCCACACTTTTTTAACCAGACTAAAGAGAAAAATATTGATCACTGTGCCCAATAGGCAATTACTTATTCATTGGTTTGTTTATGGAGCTCATAGGAGGTAAAGGGGACTGAAACTATAAGACCCTTTTTTCTGCATTCAAGGCTTATCGGTGTATATATCTATATTAAGAAATTTTTATATTAAGGACCCACAATATAATATATTAAACATGTCTTTGCTTTCAAATCTGTGAATTGAAGGGTGCCTTAGTAGTGTCAAAGTAAAAGCATACTATATAGATGAAAATAAGATTAAAGAGTATATTGATAAATCTATTTGGAATGTATTATTTGTTAATAATGTTGTCATTAACAACAGCAATGATAATAATAGATCCATCCATTCGTGCTCCAGTCACTTATCCAATATATGACTGTAGCGAGCATTATAATGATGACCGCCAGTCATCTACATAATCATCATCCAAAATTATGATGTTTATAATATTAACTATTATTATTATCATTATTATTAGTAGTAGTAATAGTAGTAGTAGTAGTAGTAGTAGTAGAGAGTAAGAAGAAAAATATGATTTCCAGCTGTACTTTGCTGATGAATTGATAAATGTATTTGATATACAGTAAAACCCATCTTATTTAGGGATGTGTGATGTCATAAATAATGTGATATTAAATATTATTACCAGAGTAGCACGTATTTCTCTTTTCATTTTAATTATTGCATAAGCCTAAAATATATTTAACTTTTAATGAAGTTAAATCTTTTCAAATTTAAAATGCTCTGCAACTCTTTGTAAATGCCTGAATAACGTCAAGGTGAATTTTTAAACTACTAAGTAAAAGATACATATTCCAAAATTGTCCCAAAAAACATTTCCTCTTTTTTAATGCCACAAATTAAAAGTGTACCCAATGCACACTACTGCTGTTGTATTAGAAATATACATATTTTCTTTTCAGTCTTGACAGTATTGTTTGATTAAATTGGCTTATTAAGTGAAAAACATCAAATGAAACGCACCGTTTACCGACATGCACATTGCAGGGGTGAAATTTCTAGAGATCGTGTATAACACGTTAATCTTTTACAAGGACCTTGAAAAGAATAACTGTCCACACTGCCACCTTGTGGCGTGATGTTGATTTTGTAAGTCGAGTTCATCGTAAATTGCTTCATAGCGTTAATTACACATTGGCGGCAAAATAACTGCAATAAAAATTAAAAGGACAAACAGACTAAGTAAACGCGTAGGATGCTTAAAAGCAGGATTCAGAATAATTTGCGCTTCAGTCTGACCCCATTATATAACACTCCAGAAAAGGCAGCTGTGCTGTGTCTGCGGGCGTTTGAGCTTGTGAATGATGCTTGTGTAATTATACCGTTGATCTTTTTTTCTTTTCTTTTACATTTTTTTTTAATCCATTCATAAATGTGCATTTCTGTTTTTAAAAATAATATAAAATTATTAAAACACTGGATGCAATCTAATGACCAAGCTCTGTCCTTCATGTCGTTTCATCTGGGGCAGAAAGACCAAAGTAAGCTACTTTACCACGACTTCTACTCCAGCCGCTACGCAGGCATAGGCTTTATCGTCCATCTTACTGTTTTCATTAGTGCAGGGTTTGATGGATCAAAATTACAAAATTAAAATCATAAAAATATCAAATCTTAAACTGTCTTGCCTGACAAATATCTTAGAAATCTCTCTCTCTCTCTCTCTCTCTCTCTCTCTCTCACACACACACACACACACACACACACACACATATATATATGCATATATATATATATACACTCACACACACGTATTTAAAGTGCACATTTTGTATATGAATGAATTAGGTCAATCTATGTATTATGGTATTCGGACAGTTGAATTGTTCATTCAACAAATCCTTTGATTTTCCATCACTGCTATTTCATAAAACGTCTAGCATAGGTGTATGATTGTGAAGCCGTAATTTAGGATTGCTTACTTCATTACGCTTGTTCGTGGTAACGCACATCACTGGCAACCCAATTGCACGCACTTTCTGCACAATGCGGACTCAATCCCCTTGGTGAATAATTGCTCGCATAGTAATGTATGCATCATTAATCTTAAAACATATTCCAAATTACAATTAGATAACGCCACTTACCAGATCTATGTACCATGAGTCGTTTTCCTATTTCGGACTTCAGGGAAAAGGGTAAATGGATATACAGGGGAAAAAACCTAAACTCCGTGTCCTGTCCTGCAAAAAACGTAATCTCACAGTCCAAATGAACACGGATACAGCCAAGGTGTTATTTCAGAAATAAAAAAGCAGCTTTTCTGTAGCTTTTCCGCTGCATGCATTTGAGGAGTTCGCAAAATTTGCTGCAGAGGACCTGCAAATTGTAGGGAATCTTTTGCCTTCATATGTGAGGGAAAGAGATAGAGAGAGATAGAGTGAATGTGTATGTGTGTGAGAGAGAGAAAGCGAGCGAGCGAGAGAGAGAGAGAGAGAGAGAGAGAGAGAGAGAGAGACGCAACTGGGGAATAGGGAGGAAACACCGAGGCTCTTCACAGCCGATCTACCCCTCTCTCTCCTTCTCTTTCTCCCTTTGCCATTGGGTTACGGTGAATGAAATTTACAAAGCCTACAGCCAATAGATCGCTGCATGCTGTCCATCACGGTTAACCAGCAGCTGATACACCGGCTCCAGCTCCTGAGATATCTTTCCCATAGGCAAGCGTGAAGAGCTGCCGTCCGTGACGCAGTGGCTTCCTCGTGTGAGTTATCTCCTTCTGCCGGTCATGTCCTTCTCTGCCCTGGACATATTTCTTTGAAGGCGCATTTTTTGACACTTCCCGTAGCTCAGTCTCCATCAAGAGGCATACATGCAGGTGGTGTATATTTATTTAATTTAACACAGTTTAGATAGGGACGCATTTTAGAGGCTTGCCTAAAGTAAATCCTCTTTAAAAATTGTATTCTGTAGGTACTGGGTAGGACCAACAGGCTTACAGAATTATGTCTTTGCACTCTAAGTAAAGAAAGAAAAAATATCGTAATTGTTGAAACAGTGAGTGTTTCATCGTCTTTTTTATTCATCCATTTCCTGTAGCTGCCTGTCCTGGTCAGGGGGTCCACAGTCTGTCCCAGAAGCTACAGGCAGGGAATAACCCAGGATGGGGCACCAACCCATCACCGGGCAGACTCGCCATTCTGAATTTGGTAAGTCCAATTCACCTAATAATGTTTTTAGACTGAAGGGAATACCTGGGAGAATCCCTACAATGACATGGGGAGAACATGCAAACTCAACACACATGGAATCAGGGCGGAGAATTTAACGCTGGTCCCAGAGATGTGAGGCAACAGCACTAATCATCGAGGTATGTATATTGTTATTGTTGATGTGGTTGAAAATTAATCAAAGGTTTACTTGTCTTTACTACTTTTTTTTTCTGAAATATTACCAGTACTATTACTACTAATTACATTAACATTTCTCTAGCAAAGTCATGAATTTGTCAATTTTAAATTATGCTAACAATCTGAGGTTCATTGTCACACACTCTCATATTAAAATCAGTTCACCACTGACTTTTCAGCACCATTTATGATTTATCCTTTTCTCTTCCAGAATTTCCCCCTGGGATCAGTAAAGCCCATCTTAATCTGAACTGCTTATCCAGTACAGGGTCACGGTGATCCTGGGGGCTGTCCTGGGCAATACAGGTCACAAGGCAGGGGATACCTGGGACATTGTTTTAGTCTCTCACAGAATGCATCTTTTTGCACTCTGTGAAGGTCCCCATACAAACTCCAATCCAGACAAACACAAATCCAGAGCTCTGAAGTGTGAGATACATGACTCTTTCATCTTCCAGTCACTATAATTGTTTAGGTTTTTGGCATACCTATGGCTTTCATGTCATCGCATTTTCTTGTATCTGTTTTCCCACAATGGCATATTTCAAAGACTACAGTGAGATGGGAAGAAGAAGAAGAAGACAATGACAGTAGGTGAGAGCTGGATTTCAGTTTAGTTGATGTTTACTATGCTGTATGAAATAAGTGCTGATGTAGTGAAATGGAAAAGTACAATATTTTATTTATGTAGCACAGTAGAATTCTCAGGGCAGGTGGAAGGGACTCGTGAAGAATGTGAATTAAATCTAGGCATATCGAATTTTTAGACACTCTTGATAAGATCTAGCTATTCAAAGAAACTTTCCTGTCAGAAAAACCTCTAAAATGTTTTTTCAACAAAATGCAAGCAGAAATATCCATCGATAGTGCTTGGGCCATTTCAAGCATTTGTGCCAGCTTGCCTTAATAATAGTCTAATTTGTGTGCCAGTGTCAAAGCTATATGAAAATATAGTTCATTGTATTTAATGAGGATGAATTTTGAACTAGATAACTTTAATAAAGTCCCAGATAAACTGGATTCCAAAGAGTACAACTGTTTTACAAAGGCCACAGTGTATGAATAATCCAATAATAAAAATTTCAGATAAATGCATAATTTTCAGTACTTACCAGCTATTCACCAGTAGGTTACCTGGTCCTGGACAAGGATTATTTCAGCCAATGCACACCCCAGATTGAATGTTTCAACTATCCTGCTTGAGACCAACTTAAAATTCTACCAGCGTAAAGTCTACCGAAATTTGTACTAATTGTCTAATCGTCAATGTTTATTCTTAGTCCTTGACTTGTTGTTGACTCAGCAGTTACACTCAGTGGTTACATTATTAAGTACACTTGTTTGTTAATGCAAACAATGCATTCCTCCAAACCGAATTATGTCACTGAATATACAGCATGCGGGCTCAGCCAAGAGCTTCACTTATTGTTTGACTAAGCGTTAGAAGTGCTAAGATGCTTAATATTAAGCAATTTTGAACATGCTCGACCAGTTGTGGTGGTTCTAGTACCTCAGACGCAGCCATTCTCTTGGTATTTTCATGCACTACAAATTCTGGACCTTACAGAGAAAGGAGTGATGAATAAAAAAAAGAAAACATTCTGCTGGCATTTCTCTGGCAAATAACACCTTGTTAATGAGAGGTCAGAGGAGAATTCCCAGACTCATTAAAGCTAACAGACAGACAACAAGTGCAGAAAGAGCAGTTCGGTACCACAGTTGTGTAGAGAATAGTTTCTTAGAACGCACAACTCATCTGCTTTTGAAGCCGTTCTAGAGGATAAAATATGTTTTCTGCCTGGTACTAAATTGGTGTATGTAATAAATTGGCCATCATGTGTATTGTAGTAGTGACCATTTGTATGCCATAGTTGTAAGTCCATTCCATCCCACTTTTGACTGTAAATTGGATTATCAATATCTACATCCATCCATCCATCCATCCATTTTCCATAATGGTTTATCCAATATAGCATAACAGTGAACTTGTTGTATTGTTTTAATTCTATGTATATATGCATCTATAAATAGCCATTTTCTTCATACTAAATCCAGTTACTTCAGTGTAACACCGCTGTAGCCAATGGATAGCTGCTAATACATCAAACAGTGGGAAAGAGTTGATCAATGTTTTTTCAGCACTGTGTTGATAGCAAAAAAGCTACAGTAGGTACTTGTTTAGTCCCCCTCCCCCCCAGTTAGCATGGAACCAGTAAAATAGGTCGTGTCAGTTCACTAAGTTTGATTTGTTACAGGCAGACAGCTTTCCACTTGCACCCAAAATTTAAAGTTTTAATGGTATTTTTCAGTTTTCTAAAGGTTCTAAATATCCATCTCTATAATGAATTTATCTGACTTCTGATTTTCACATTTGTCATCAGAAAAAAAAAAATTATATATATATATATATAGACTCCTCATTAATTTACTGTATTATGTTGTACTTATATTGTTTATATTAAAATGTTTATATTTAAATTGATTTTATTTAATGCAGATATTATGTACTTGGTGGGTATTTTGCTGATTATGTATATTCTAAATAATCAAAGTCTGACTGCATTTGTTAATCTTATAACAAAATTGTATTAATCTTTTCCCTTTTTTCCCACATTACATTATTTCTGCCTGATTTTTGGAGTGTTTGCCTTGAAAACTAGCACTTTGTTTTGCAGCAGAATGTTGATGCACTGGAAGACTATTGAAAATAAAACCTTTTTTGTCTGGGTACATTGCAAACCATCAGTGTTTCTGTGATCCCATTGTCAATATGTGTTCCTGATTCTCACAGTCGATGCAGTGGACATGTTCCAGAACTGCGTCGTTTACTCTAGTACAGACAATCAATCCTGTTCTTTTCCAATATACAAATTTTCAGTTTGTCAAGATTCTCTTCAGAAGAAAAACTGCCAAGTTTTATGAAACTGCCAACTACAGGTAAAAAGGTTATTAATGCATTGACAATGCATGTGAATAATGAATGAGTGTTAAATTTTTGTTTTTTATGCAGATAAAAATGTTCTTACTGTCTAACATGGATGTGTTCTGAAACACACTACAAATAGTTATGGTCCTGGGGTACAATGGTTCATCAGAACATTGCCCAAGTGTCTTAGTGCAGTGTGACCTCTTCATGCACCATAACACTGCCCAGCTGTCCTGCTTTGTAATATCTCTCCTTACAAGGAGAGCCCAGGAGTGGGCTATCACCATGTACCATCAGCACAGTGTAGTCCTCTCCTCTTTCACTGCCTTCCTCCAATACTAAGGTTTTCAGTCATATCTCATAGGGCAGAGATGTGGGCAACCAACTGTGGGAACTTTGTTTGTTGTTAAGATCTGGTCACTTGCTGCCACCAGTGGTAAAGGGAACCAGCTTTCCTCACTCTGCACCTCAGGAGCCTCTATCCAGAAATGATGGGGCAGAAACCCAGGCCTTGCAAAATATATCCAATTATCGATTTGCTTGGATAACTTGCTCTGGGACTGGCCACCTTCCTCCCCAGCGACTCTGCTCCCGACTCCCACCTCTTTCCCTCCATGGGTACAGAACCCATGTCGTTCAGAATGGACCCTATCAAGCAGACTGAGCATCAGCGGTGAATATCCAACCTACTGTGCCTGTACTGCTGGGAAGGCGCTCATGTGTTTTCTCAGTGACCATCGCATCCACCTCATTCACGCAAGCACACAGAAACAGCTCAGGTTAGGTCCTCCATCACTTTCAACATCAGAATCCTGCTCATCCTCTACTAAGACTTCAGTATCCGTGTAGTCATAGCCCAGATTGACTCTGAGGCTGCCAGAATCTTAATTGATTCCACACTGGCTTGCCACCTGACCCTGCCCCTACCAGGGCTGGAGGCTCTACTAACATTCATGAACTGGATAGTTCACCGATGGCTGCTGGCTTCATTACACACTGTCCCAGGCCCATTATTCTTCAGCTCCGCTTTTTCACTAACAGCAGATTCACCCGTGGGCTTCCATGGCTGTGCAACCATGATGACGCATGAGAAGATCATTGCTTAGAACTCATGCTGCCTCTGTATCTGCTTTCAGCTACCTGTCTTTACCACCACAGTTGATAGTACCACAAGAAAGATACACATACCCTTAGTTTGCAGCGATTTCCAGGACCTATTTAGCAAAGTTAAAGCAACAAAACTGCCACCACATTATCCCTGGGACTGCGAGATTCACTTGGTTCCAGGTTTGCCCTAACCCACTCACTTTGCCATAGTCCAAGGAGATGGAATGATACTTTGAGGAAGCCCTACAATTGGGATTCGTTCGGCTGTCCACCTCACTGGCTGCTTCCTTGTTCTTCTTCGTCGAGAATCAGGCCAGGGGACTGTATCGCTGCATCAACTACTGCACCCTCAACAGAATGACTAAAAATGTCAGCTTTTCCATTCAACTAATCTGTACGATGTTGTAGCAGATTTAGTCCAATCAGTATCTCACCAAGTTAGACCTGCAAAATGCAAGTAATACAATAGACACATGGGAAGGTGATAAGTGAAAGACCACATTCATCAAGACGAATATATGAATATCAGGTTATGGCTTTCAGGCTCACAAACATTCCACAGTCTTCCACAGGTTCCACAACCTGCTTATTTATTCTGAATTGCTCGCTGAACATGTTGATCCATCCAGATCTTTACATAAACTTCAGCTAGTACAAAATGCAGCAGCCAGAGTTCTTACAAACACTAAAAAAATGTAATCATATTAGCCCTGTTCTATGCTCCCTTCACTGTCCACATTTTTGCTTCCTCCCAACTGCTCACCTCAGGAGAAACACTGCTATAAAGACAAGTAGATCCTGTCCATGAGCCTTGCATTGTCCAGTGCTTTTATGAAAAAAGTTTCATATTTCAACCAGTGACGCCTGTAGAAAATTTTGATTGGGGTGGTCATAAGGGACCTTTTTTTAATTATTATTTTTATGGGTGGCCATGCTGCACCTTGTCTCTTCTATGGTTCCACTTGGAAAATTGTGCATATTTTGTTTATATTATTTTGATGTTGGGTGGTAACAGAGGTGGCCTTGTTTTTGCTATAGGTGTGGCTATGACCACTCCGGCTACCCCTTTGATCCACTCCTGATTTTAACGTCCAAAAAACCCCGAACACATGGCAACTACACTGCAAAGGAATAGCATCATGAAATCAGTGTACTGTTCTTTGCGTCATTCATTCCAGGATGAACTTAAATCCCGTTAAATATGTGGTATGACCCCAGTCCACTTACACTATTGAATATTCATAGAAAAATGGGCAAATGTGACAAAATATAAATATGCATACAGACTTACGCACAAAGACTCCCAGTACTTGCTGCCAAAGGCCTATCTGCAAAGAATGGGGCTAGGGTGATTACATTTATAATTATTTTTCAAAAAATGTGGCTGAATAATAATAAAAAAAACATAAATGACTTAAATTTATTGTGTTGCTAAAGGGAAATATATTTCAATTATTCTACATTAATTTAAAAAATGTTTTGAAGGCACTATATATTTTTTAATTTTCAACTACTTACACACCTACATAGCTGGAATGAATTTTGTATGATCATGTAATGAAGGAGTTTTAAACCTTTAGAAGACAATGTTCATCAAAGGACCCCTTGATATTGATGCGTGATTAAATAAGTAACTAAGAACTAATGAATGGGCAGATTTAATATTTCTGTTTCTGGAGGGTGGCCTATCTATATGATTTAACCAACATTCAATTTATTTTTGCAGACCCCCTGAAACTGTTTGATGGATCCTCAGGGGTCCTTAGATTGAAAACCCCAGATCAAACTAAAAAAGCTAATTTGCTTTAATGATTGGTAGCGCTAGGTATAGCTTTCTCATATCAATTTCCTTGCTAATACTATATGTTAAAACGGTAAAGTTTTCAAGACAATTTGCTCATTCTTTATTTGAATTCAGATGTACTCAAGCTGACCCAGTCACAAACATCACTAAAGCATCCATGCATGCAAATTCCCAGTGCTGCCGTATTCCTACCAAGCTGATGACAACATACTAGCGCTATGTCAACATCAAGGCTGTCCAGGCAGCAAAGGGCACTGAACCAAGAGAAAATAATCTATTTAAGACCATTGTGTCATTCAGTCATTAACACCAAGGAGAAATCAAAGTAGATGAAGGGTGCATATAATATAGGCAATTTCTGTGATAATCTTTGTTAGTATGAAGGTCTTTGGGAGCTTGCATTTAATATTACATTCTCCTTTGGCTTCAATGCCCCCATACAGGCTAATGTAACAGAAGGTACCAAGGTTTGCATTTATTTTTACAGTGCTGCAACCATTCTTATTAACGCAATTGGAATTCTAACTTTGATTGCAGTAATTTTATGTCCTATCATTCAGTAGTGAATTTACAGATTGACAGTGAAAGCTTGCAAACCTGTCCAAGAGTTGTAAATGAAAAAGGAAACTGTCACTGTGTAAAATCGTTTTTCATGTAAATATGCGTATATTTACAGGTCACTAAATCACAAAAATGTCACATTCACAAAAACAGCAAAAGACAATATTTTTAAATACTCACTTCCATCTCCTTACTGAAGTGGTCCTGTAAGGCATTTGCTAACATTAGCCTACTGATAGTTCGATGTGCTTATGTCACACTCTGATCTTACCCTGCACAATTATTGTACCCCTGGTAAAGATGAGTAAAAAGCATTAAAAGAAATTCACCATCTGAAGAATGTCACTGAAAAATGTCACACTGAAAAAATGTGAAAAAAAAATTCTACCTTTAATTAAAAAAAACAAATTATGAAAAAAATCCCTCATCAAGAAAAAATTAACAAAACACAATTATTGTCACCCTTACGACTAATACTTGCATTTGCCAATGAATCAGCATTGCAATCTTCTCTTAAACATCTTATCATGTTGGACAATATTAGACAAGAAATCTGGGACCAGTCCTCCTTACAGAATCTCTCCAGATCATCCAGGGTCCCAGGTCCTCTGTTGTATGCTCCCCTCTTCAGCTCACCACTCAGTTTTTCAGTGGGGTTCAGGTGAGGGAATTGAGATGGCCATGGCAGAAGCTTGATTTAGTGTTGAGTTACCAATTTTTTATTGATTAAGCATATGTTTTGAATCACTGTACTGCTGGAAGATGCAACAACGACCCAGTTTTACTTTCTTGTTAGCCATGTACGCTAACAAGGTTCCCAGGGCCTTTGGAGGGCAAGCTGCCCCACGACATTCTCTTACAGTGGGGATCAGGTTCTTTTCAGT